CTCCCTGTAATTTGTTCAAGGTGACATACCACCAGTATTGAAATTATGGGCCAAACTTACTGGTTTAGAAAAGAATACAGGTTGTCAATTGTGTGTCTAGTTCTGAAAAGGCAAAGCAATATCAACAGGATTATTTCACAAGGAATTTCTGTAACTATGATCACTGGAAGCTTGCATGACATTTACAAGGCTATCAAAGTGACAAATCGAACTGACAACAGCCTTTCAGAGAATACTGGCCCAATAGCTTTGTAAACAACACGTGTATCTGGGTGGGTCTCACAAGATAGTTTGCTGTCACCCTTTCACTCTTGTGTAGCCTATGACCTTTTTATTTATTGTTTTTAGTTTTCTTGTATGTGTGAAGGGAAGAATACAGGGAGTTGGGTTTTTTGTTTGTTTATAAAGCAAATTCTAGCATCAGATGTGAAATCTGCACAGCTGTAAGCATTCTTCTGGGAACCGGCAATGGAGTTCGATTCAACTGCTTAATGCAATTACCTCAATCAGTCATGCAGCATTAACGTAATTTGCCCATTCCTCTTGCTAAAAAGTTGTTTAATCTTTAAAAAGGGAGAAAAACAGTCCTCTCACCTTGGAACCAAATAATAAGTACTTCACCTGTTTATTCTCCGAATCCACTAACTTGCAGTGAACCATGTGCCTCTTGGTCGCGTGTTAGTGGGCCTATGCACAACAGAACAGAGCACCGCCCCGCCCGCCTGGTGCAGGCCTCAGCGTGCGGCCTTGGGAGCACTGCTGCAGCCCTGTTCTCCATCCTCCTTGTGGACCAGTCCTCTTTTCTGCTGGCCCTCCACGATGGCACGATGCCTTCTCCAGGGATTGTGAGAATAACGTGTTCAAAGTACTGGAGATGAAGGCTTCCCATCGCATTTCTAAGGAGCATTCTGGCTGGACTTCTTCTAGGACCCATTTGTTCATTTTTTTTTATTTTTAAATCTTTTTATTGGGGGCTCGTAGAGCACTTATCACAATCCATATAGACATCCATTGTCAAGCATATTTGTACATATCTTGCCATCCTCATTTTCTAAATGTTTTCTTTCTACTTGAGCCCTTGGTATCAGCTCCTCATTCTTTTATTCCCCCTCCCTCCTCTACCCTCCCTCCCTCATGAACCCTTGATAATTTATAAATTACTATTTTTCATGTCTTACACTGACCGATGCCTCCCTTCACCCACTTTTCTGTTGTCCATCCCCCTGGGAGGGGGTTTTATGTAGATCCTTGTGATTGGTTTCCCCTTTCTCCTGCCACCTTCCTCTTACCCTCCTGGTATCGCTACTCTCAATATTGGTCCTTAAGAGTTTATCTGTCCTGGATTCCCTGTGTTTCCAGCTCTGATCTGTACCAGCGTACATGCTCTGGTCTAGCTGGATTTGTAAGGTAGAACTGGGTTCATAAGAGTGGAGGGGAGGAAGCATTAAAGAGCTAGAGGAAAGTTGTATGCTTCGTCGGTGCTATACTGCACCCTGACAGGCCGACTTGTTCATTCTTTTGGCAGTCCAGGGAATATTCAGTATTTGTCACCAGCACTGTAATTCAAAGACATAGCTGCCCAGCTTTCACACGCACGAGGCAACTGAAAATGCCATGCCTTGGTCCGGTGACTCTTAATCCTCAAGGTGAAATCGTTGCTTTCTCAACACTGACAAAGGTCTTTTGCAGTAGATTTGCCCAATGCAGGACATCTCTGATTTCTTGACTGCTGCTTCCATGGGTGTTGAAAGTAGATCCACGTGAAATGAAATCCTTGACAACAATATATTCTCAAAGGAACTCCCATATTTCATTTTTAAAGTATTTCATAAAAATATTCTGAAGCCGCACACAAAAGAATATAGCAGATTACTACCTGAAAACCGAGTCCTAGAATGCCAAGGATCTTCTCTGTCCCTGGAGAAGAAGAGCTCAAAGATACCAAGGTCAAGCCAGCTCAGAGCCGAGCAAGGTTAGGCTGCCACCCTAACTCTGGATCCCGCCCATCTTGTTCCGT